GGACAGCAGCTGCTGTCGCTTCCTAACAATTCTGCCACATTCAAGTTCTCCTTGTAGGATCCTGTATCTGAGCAGCCTCGATGTGGGCTTTGAAATGAGAAGATAAAAGGATTTTGAGTATAAAATGATTTGTTAAGAATAGGTTTAGGGCCAGGTGTAGTGGCGCACGCCTTTAATCCCAACACTTGGGAGGCAGAGGCAGGTGGATCTCTGAGTTCGAGGCCAGCCTGGGCTACAGAGTGAGTTCCAGGATACCCCAGGGTTACACGGAAAAACTTTGTCACAAATAAACCAAAACAAAAACCAAAAAAAAAAAAAAACTGAGTTCAGAGCCTCAGCACCCACATTTCAAATGACAGACAGACAGACAGACAGACAAACAAACAAACATGTGAGTCGAGATAGGCGGATCCCCAGAGCTCATGGGCCGGGCAGCCTAGCTAACGGCAAGCCTCAGGTTCAGTGAGAGACCGTGTCTCAGAAGATCAAGTGGATCACAATAGGGGAAGACACCTGACAGAAACCCCTGACCTCCACACATAGTACCCTCTCCATACCCACACCCACACACACACACACACACACACACACACACACACACACACACACACACACAAAACAAATTTTACCATTTTGAGCCACAGTCAACTCTCACTAATTGGAAGGGGAGACCCTGAAAGTCTATTTAGCCCCTGCCTGTGTGGGTTAGAAATGAACGACTTGCATCCTTGCCGTGATGGAGCGTTCACCGGCCCACATCACTGGACAGTTTTAGTACACCATGAAAAGCACAAGCTGCAGTCAGTTCCCCAACTCCCACAGGAGGGCCTTGCGATAGGTTTCAGAACTGAGCACTGACTTTTAATTTGAAGGCGGTCAGGAAGAGGGGCAGACCAGTACTGAGGAAGGTCTTCCAAGTTGGCTCAAGCCCAGGAGCTGATACAGTGACAACATGACAATATCCACTGGCTTGCAACCTTTTTAAACCTCAGTTTGTCCACCTTAGTTTATTGTTTTTCAATGTCTACCTCATTCAATGTGTATCTAAAAGTTATATTCCAGTTACCTGAATTCCTGTAAGCTTATATCTTATTTTAATATAATTTCTAGTTCTTTTCTTTAAAAAAAAGTTTAATAAGAGAAGGGTCTCATTCTCTCACTGTACAGCCCAGATTGGCATGGAACTTGTGATCCTCCTGTCTCATGCTGGCATTACAGGTGTGCACCTCATGTGTAGTTTAGACATTGTTTTTGAGGGCAAGCTTTCATATTTGGGAGTGTCAGAGTCTGGGTGGCAAATAGATGTTCAAAGATTGTACTTTAAAGGTTTTAAAAAATTATGTGTATGGATGTATGCCTATGTGTAAGTATGTATGTGCATGTGAGTGCAGGTACTTGTGGAGGCCAGAAGAGGACACTGGATCCCCCTGGAGCTACAGTTACAGGCAGTTGTGAACTAACTACCTGGCATGGGTGCTAGGAACCAAACTTGGGTCTTCTGCTAGAAGACTGTGCTTTTTTATTTTTTTAAATTTATTTATTACGTGTACAGAGTTCTGTCCGCATGTATGTCTGCAGGCCAGAAGTGGGCGCCAGATCTCATTACAGATGGTTGTGAGCCACCATGTGGTTGCTGGGAATTGAACTAAGGACCTCTGGAAGAACAGCCAATGCTCTTAACCTCTGAGCCATCTCTCCAACCCCGAGGACTGTGCTCTTAACCACTGAGCATCCTTTCTAGCCCCTAATGTTTAAAATAACTCATCTTTCAATTCTAGCTTGTGACTACAATCTCTTGCCCTTGCTTTCACTGCCCACACTTCTCCATTGATACATTTTTATTCTATTTGCTGTGATAGATCCTTTTGTCTACAGGGTGTTTTCCATAGCAGGTCTGAACTGACAGCACTCCCCCAGCCCCAGAGGGCTACAGTTGGATGCTCTGTTGGACAGAGTGGCCCACAGCCAATAGTTGTCACTTTCATTAAGATATTGCAAGCAGAGAAAACCTTCCTGGGACAGGCAGGCATGGAGGGCTCGCCAGCGATGTTCTCATATGGGAGAAAGCAGCCTCTCAGCTCGGCTGGATCTTTAATCTCCAGATGAGATGCTGCAGTTTCTCTGCCCGCTTCCCAGGACTGCCATATAGATTAGAAGGGGGATGGCCACAGGGCGCTCTCAGACATCACAGACAGAGGTATTACATAACTGCAAAAATGTTCTGCTTCACTTTTGCAGAGTGTGAGCTCCCTCTAACCAGAAAGTGAGCATCAGAGGCAGACCAGAGGAGTGCCAGGGACCAGGGCCTGTGGCCTCCCTCATTAACATTGGCCCAGCTGATGAAAGAGACCTGTAAAAAAAAAATCACAGATGGACTACAGAAGACAGAATAAGAAACATGTCTTGAGTTAAGATAATTGGCAAAGACTGAATGGCAGGAACTATGTTTTAGGAGCCATCTTTGATCACCGGGTACCACACACTTCTGTATTTTTCATACCAGAGTGGGCCTTGATCCCTCCAAGCTGATCTAAAAGCCTAATTGTAGCTCAGCAGTCACCAGCAGAGTAGATTAAACCATAAAGCCGCCATGTAGACATCATTCTACTCGGCATGTTCAAATCTTCAGCCACCAGATGAAGTTACAGTTGGTGACACTATTTTGGCATTAATGTATTGAGACCTCCAAGGCTGCAGGAGGAGTTTGGACAGGTAAGCAGCTCCCCTGTTGCTCTGGGTAACTGACAGGCAGACAGATGCAGCCAGTGTTGGCCACATTATTTGCTACTAAAATTGACAGGGGGAGGGAGCCGGATGGAGACTTTCACTCCAAACAGCATTTTCCCAGCAAAAGCTGCATCTCAAGAGTCCTTCAGAGCACTCTGGGAATGCACGGGAGTTTACAAATCAATTTACTAAATTGGCTTGGCTGGAAATCATGCTTTTGTGTGTGGATCTGGCTGTAAGGTATTTTTCAATCTATCGGGCCCTGGCAGGGCTTCTTCAAGCAGTACAGAGAAAGGTGACATCAGAAAGAGATGTTAGTTCCAAGCCAAGTAGACTCCCCCTCAAACCCTAGTTCCAAAGGCCCAGTGACCCTGGGTAAGTCACATGACCTCTCTGAGCCAACTGCCTAGCTAGCCCACCAGCCTCTTGAAGCGTTGACAGGGTAAGTGCCCTGTATATTTCAGAGTCAAGTGCTGTCTTAACCTGACCTTTCCAGTACAGCTATAAGCAACCTGGGATGACAGGAGTTCTCCCCACGCCAACCATTCTCTCATCTACCACAGGCCAGGTGGACAAGTGACATAAAAGGAGCAGAGCTCTGGAAACCTCACTCTGCAATGACTGCATCTACTTAACCAAATCGGGAACTTCATTTAAGCAGCAGAGAGCGCCAAGCTGCGCTTACAAAGACAGAATTTTTAGATGTCAGGCATATGCTATTTTCGGTTCTGTATAATTTTGCCCTTTCGATATTGAGAACTTGAAGAATTCTGTAAGCGGTCCATCTCCGTTTGTTTGTTCATTCGTTTGTGTTTTAAGTAAGGCCTCAAACGTACAGCAATCCTTCTACCGTTGCCTTCCTTCCGAGTGCCGGGATCCCAGGCGTTGCTAGCACAGCTGGCTCGGAGACTATTTTTTTTCACATCACACCTCTCGGCCATTCAGCCGGTAGCAGCATGCTTTCCAGGCTCACTATGATCATCACTTGAGCCCTGAGGTCTTGAGTAGGGAGGAGGCAGGACAAAGGGCCCAGACCTAGAGAGGTCTCAGGATTCACTCAACTCTAGAAAGCTAAAAGGTGTCTTGACCAAAGTCACACTGTGAAGGCCTTTGGTAAGGTTTTAGTAAACCTCTGGGAACTAACATGGAATGGAAAAGAAAAGGAATCTTGACATGGAGTTACATGCCCTGGTGTTTCCAACTCTGAGGTCAATGTGTGTTAGTTCCCACTACATTGCAGGAGACAGAGGCCTGTTAGGACAGGCCTGTGTCATTTCTCTCTCTTGAAGAGATATTTATTAGTCATCACTGTGTCAAAAAAAAAATGCATGAGAAAATACATTATAGCTTCTGGCTTGAGTCCACGATGGCTTGGCCCATCGTCTAAGGGTCCTGCGGCGAAGCACAGCATCGTAGCGTGGAGGCCAGGGCATAGCAAAGCGGCTCATCTCATGGTGGCTGGTGAGCAGAAGCGAAGGAGGGCAAGATAAGACCCCAGGAGATGAGAGCGGCCTTGCCTGAGAGGACCTCAGAGCATTGCTGGAGAGAAAAGTCCAGAGACAGAAGCAAGGAAGGGCAGCAGGGAGCCGACGTGAGGACAGGAAGGAGGAGAGGAGGCAGGGAAGGACAGGCAGAGAGCTGCCAGAAGCAGGGACGTTTAGAAGGCAGCGTGACAGACAGACAGACAGACAGACAGACGCTATGGAGGTGGAAACGCAGACAAAGAAGTCTTCACCAAATGGTTCAGAATTTGCCAAAAAATAAATAAATAATAAGTAAAAATTCAAAAAACTCACAACTGTAATTTTTAGGTATGTAACCAAGGACTGGACTCGGCTCTGCTGGAAATATTTTTAACTAATATTTTCTACCAGTGAATGTGCTCAATTCATGGAGAAAGGAGAGACCATCCAATTAGGTGACCATAATGACTCCAAACAACCTGATAAAATTGTGCATCTATGTGAAAAAGAAAGAGAAGCTCAAACCTTAAATTAATTAGGTTAATTCACAGTGTGGACAAAAGGAATTGCAAACTTGCAGTGTGATATCAGGCCTGTCAAAGTTAGACAAGAAAACATGCTGGAGTCTACAAAGTAAGTATTCCTGGGCCCAGAAATTACTAAGAACTCAAGAGTTTCTTGGCTGTAACGACTTGTAAATATCTAGAAGAGCCCAGATTTTGAAGCCCCGAGGACACTTTACTACAGCTAAGAAAGTTGGCAGGAAGCTTTGCACAGTATTTGGGTTTTCTTTCTGAGTTGATATCTTACCAAATACAGCCATCTGTGTTCCCTCTGGGAAAGGTTCAACCGTTCTGTTGCCACTGACATGGTGCTTGGCTGGAAAAAGAAAGAAAGAAATGTGAGTTTAAGTGTAAAGTTTGACATGCATACTAACACATGTCATTAAATGTGTCAGTGAGCCTGTTTCCCTTCAGGAGTTAGGAACACACCAAAGCTTACCCTCTTAAAAGAATCCCTGTCACCTGGTTTTATAAATAAATCTGAGTGTGTTACATGCCCTTTTGTGTACGCGTGCTCAGGCCCATGTGGGTTTGAGGAAGCAAACATGCATATGTGTGCATGTACATACAGTGGCCAGAAGACAGCCTTGGATGTCATTCCTCAGGTGGGATCGACTTTGGTTCATGTTTTGTTTTGTTTTGTTTTGTTTTGTTTGAGGCAGGGCCTCTCACTGGCCTAGAGCTCACCAATTTGACAAGGCTGGCCGGTCAAGAAGCCCAAGAGAGCACACCTGCCTCTGCCTCCCTAGCACAGGGATTAAAAGAACATGCCACCACATCCAGCTTTTTACATGGGTTCTAGGAATCGAACTCAGGTCCCCAGGCTTACAGAGGAAGCACTTTACTGACTGGGCCATCTCCCTAGCCTTTTACTTTGTTTCAGTCTCAATGATAAAGTAGCTTAGACATCAAACTCTGGCATGATTTTTGTAAATGAATGTGTCAGACTCCAAGTTCTTACAGGCCTGGACAACTGAAAAATGTTGGACCCTTGGTTAGAGGGTCCCTACTGAAGCTGACCACCCTAGAGAAAGAGGGGATCCTTGAAATCCAGGTTGAGTAGGGATGTCTCCCCCTGATGATGTCCAACAATCAGCATATTGATAAAGTTGGTATTTAAGCAAGAAGTGCAGCAGGAGGCCATGGTAACCCACTGTGATTCAAGCACTCTCCCAGGGACAACTGCCTTGGGACCCATGGATATCCAGTGCTTATCAGCAGCCATTCAGCCCTGAAGTCCCACCACCAGTGCAAAGTAGAGATGTAATGAGCCTCCAGGTTGGGACTTCCAAAATTTGTTCTCAGACTCCCAAGCAGGGAACTCCGGAGAACACTCCATCTGAGCACATTTGATAATGTTCTTGGCGATGTTCAAATATGAGTATTGACATAGAAACACACAGGAGGAACAGCTCACTCATGACACTCAGCCTCCCCGTGACTTAATGGCCACACTATGTCTACTAAGCTCTAGCAAAGGGCGACTAGGACACAACCTGAGTGAGCGTCAGAGGATCTTGGTGAGCCACAGAACTATCTGGTCCAGGTGTGATGGGCTATGACACTAGATTGAGATGGGACCATGCCACAGGAGGCTTTAAGCTCCTATCCAAACCATGGGTTTCTCGGCACCCTTTGCAGCACTGACTAGGTGATGTAGACCCTGTGAGTCTGCGAGGCCCCTTCTAGCTCATTCCCTAAGTTCATCTCAGGGTTTTCTATTGGCTTGCAAGTAACAAAAGCGGGGAAAAGGGAAAGCAACAGCCCAGAGTGGAGACAGACAGCTGGCAGGCTCAGCAGCTGCCTGGGGCCCTCAGCCACTATTGGACATAATCAGCAGAGGCACGATGGAAGGTCCCAGATGACCCTGTCTGGCTCACTCCCATGGTTAAGCTCCTTGGTCAATGCATTCTTGTAAACACATGGAGACCAAGGCTCTGACTTATGAGCAGCCCTGGCCCATCCCTTAACTCTGACTAGTGAATTTGGAATGTCACTTTTACCCGTGCCAAAAAAATCAGAAACTCCTTCCTTTAACCCACTAACCCCACCTGTAAGAGTTTAACCTGAGAAAAAAATGTAGGTGGGAAAAAAGAGGATATACATAACAGAATGTAAAGTTCCACTTGCCCTAAGGAAACCTCACAAACTGCTTAGAAATTACATTCACGGCTTTATCAAATGCAGCTGTTCCCTCTGAACTGGACATGACTATCGCCATCTTGAGTCAGAGCAGCTGTGATCACCAGCACATTACCCAGAGATCACCAGCACATTATCAAGAGATCAGACTTACTAGCCTTCCTTCATGGAGGGACTGGGAGGCTTGGGAGCCTTCAGGAGAGATTTTCAGAGTTCTCCAAGAGGTCCCTCTCCCCATGGTTACATAAGAGAGAAACTGACTTAATACTGGATCCAAGTAGTGCCAGTGCCTAAAAATTGCCCATGGGACTGTCAGGGCGGCAGCTTCTCATGAGTCCTCCATGCTGCTGGTGGGACTCTCAGTGGTCTAGTCAACCTATGTTCCTGTGAGCAGGTCCAGGAGACTCATTGGTCACCAAGCTAGACTCGGATGAAGTCCTTTCTTGGCTTGCTGATGATCTCTCTGCCTGGGCTCAACAGATGTGACAGCAATGTCTCTCAAGCACTAGTTAGAGCAATGAAGAGATATCACATCTGCAGTACTGGCAAGAGGAAACAGCTTTATTACACCATTCATGTGGACCACAAGGACAACAACCTGAAATGCGGGTATTGAGAGGAAAGTGAAAACACAGTGAATGTGGGGGTATTTCTTTCCATTCGACACTGCCTTTGTCGTTGTTAGATTCTTTTTCTTATTGTCTAGGATGAAAATACTCCAAATTTTAAGAAGCCACAAAACCATAGACTTCTTCGTATACTTTTTCCCTTAGCAATTGGTGTCCTGGGCGGGCCAAGGCTAATCTATAGCCCAGGTGAAGCTCACACTTAAAGAGAAGGTGAGTCTTCTGTGGCATCGTGGTGGCATAGGAGATGGCCTGCATCACTGCCTTAGGAACAGGCCACCACCACCACCTCTTGGGCTTGCTTCTTCTTGCTCCTGCGCTACCCACACATACTGTGTCCCTGAGTCTAGCTAACTTCACCTTCCCTTTACCATGCAAATTGGCCTTGTCTCAGTGCCTTGACTTCTCTGTCTGGCCTCCAGTGACTGCCTTTCTGTATCCTTTGCCCATTTATTCTTCCCAATGTAACACAGCTATCTTTCAAACATGAAAAAACATCCAAATTATATGACATAATGCTGTGGGTTGTTCTGTATGTCCTGTGGGAGCCCTTCTTGGGTTCTTTGTGGCGTTACCCAGCAGGTCCGCATAGAGGATGATTAGGACCATGGGCCTGAGTGCAGGTGTCTGAGATGGTCTGCACTTGGCTGTGCTGGGGGATGGTC